ACCAGTAAATTAAACTGTGTTTGTTAAGTAAAAATCTATTTTTTGCCCAATAGCTGTCTTTTACTGGACAGAATATATGTATTTGCCAAACTTCTGCGATTATACACTTGTCTAAATACTCTTATTTTATTTTATTATTTGGTCAATACACAGACTAATTGTGCAAATCTTTACCTTGCTCATGAGAAAAATGTCACTCAGTGGGAATAAATAGCAATACGGTAAAATATTAAAAGCAGAGAAATAATATTGTGTGACTTCAATGTTCACTGTATAGCCGTAGAGATTTGAGGTTGTCAAGTTTCATTCCTGCAGTTTAGGTGAACTGGTGTCTCTCACTTTCTCTTCGTGTCTGTCTGTCTATTTTAATGTTTCTCAGCCCAGTCCTCAGAGACCCCCAGACAGTCCAGTTTGTTGCTCACTCCCAGCTCCCAGCGCATCTAGACCAGGTGTTTGGTGTTCTTCATCTTTGGTTTGTTCTTGCTTGTGCGGTTCAGGTTTGCTGGGAGGGAGTAAAATGTGTAATGTCTTGGTGTCCCCCGGACTGGATTGAGAAACACCTGCTTGTGCCCTGTGATGGAATGGGATCCTCTCAGTTTATGTTATAATGTAACAATAAATCCTGGTATCACTATGTAAAAATAATGGTCACACTTGCTGTTGTGCATGCAATATTGATTAAGTCTGATTACAAACGGTTTCCGTGCCAATCCAGGAAGGGTATATGTTTGAACTGTTCCCGAAGGATATTGCCAGCCATCTTTGAGCATGGTCACACGCTTACAGGTATTCAAAAAGCCCACAGCCATGGAGGGTGACCTCACAGACTGAGCGAAACGCTGGCCAAGACGATGGGTTAGCAGTCAGTGCGAGGGGAAGCAATGGCATTTCAGTTTGGCTGCTTTCTGTGTTTCTTTTTCCAGAAAGCTCCGCTAGACACGTCAGAAGGCAAATGCACATAGTGATCCAATGGGGATCATGCTGATGATGTTTTTTTTGGCTGGTCAGCTGTCCGGTTACTGAAAGACAGGTTGACATTGAAGGAAAAAGCATTAGAAGGTCCCCGTTCTGCCTCGCCGCATGGAATTATTTTTATAATTTATATGAATTGCAACAATTATGCTAATAAGTTTGATTAATGCATGTTATTTCCACCACAAAGATCACCCATGAGGTTCTCCAGCTAATAAATGATTCTTGTTATATTGCTTCTATGTGAATTATATTTACAGGAAAATATTTCGTACGTCACCCATTATAAGTATGACGCCTAATTTTCCATTGCATTCCTGATGAGTTTAAAGTACCGTGATTAACTTCTCTTCCCTTCTCTTCATTGCTTTGCACGCTAATCAACCTTGAAAATGTAATTATGGACACAAAAGAGTCAAGAGGCTTGTTTTTCATTTCACACTGAGGACAGATTTCTTGTCGGCCCTAAGGATTATAACCATTTATCAATAAATGATGGACTATTAAGTTCACAAGGATTTAAATTCCAAACACTTGTTATATGGACTGGATGACAGGTCTTTTGGGGGACTTCTGTAGATTAACATACTGTTCTAACAAAACCTGAAAATGCGGAAGAAGGTTGCGTTGGAATAGCATAGTACTGGTGGAATAGATCCTTAATCAGCCCCACGGCTGAGCTGCTCTATCAGACATTAATCACTGCCAGGCAAACTATTTGTCTGATTAGGGCTTAGCTTTGTAAAACGGCAAACAAAATGGAGGTCAAACAAGGACCCAGGAGGTAATGCTATTAAAAAGCAGCATTAATGTATTATGTTATACGCCACCAAAGAAAACACACATCTGATCATATGGCGTACCCTTCCTTTGCCTACACATTTTACGTATTTGGCCGACGACTTTTACCCAAAGTGACAAGCATTCATTTTTGTGAATGCAGAGTCTGCAGTTGGGGGTTAGAAACATGAAATCACTCTGCCGAACTTGGGATCTGGACCAGCAACCTTCCGATCACAGGCACAGCATCCAAAGCCAGAGACTGACACACCTCCCTCTAATAAAGGTCGACAATTAACATGCAGGTTTGTTGTCATAAACCTATATAGTCAGGGTTTCATTTAAACTGTGGACAGGCAAGTTGGTACTAAATCCGGCATCGATTGATATGACTGAACACATTAACAGAATCTTGGATCTTGTTAGTAGCCTACAGCTGGATTATTGTTTTTCTCCTGCCTCCTGGTCGATGGCCGCCTTCTGCTCGCTGTCCAGAGTCACATCGCTGTGCTGTTAATTTCCTGATGGTCCTTGTCTAGATAAAAGGTCATGACCTTTAAAAGTTAACGGTGCTGTGTTAAATGAGCTATGACCAGGAAGCCCTGTGGTCAGTCTGTCTTTCAGGGAGCGGCCAGTCAGCCAGCTACTATGTCCTCATGTACTCTGCTGTAACTCAGACGTACTGGGAGTACTTGTGAGGAAAATCTCTAAAATAATCTTTAGTTTAGCTTGAACTCCTCCATCGAGGGAATGTAGAGTCTTGGAAAAACATGGCATGGACCCAAATACTACAAAGAGGCACAATGGACTTTTCTGTTTGTTTCGAATAATAAATGTCATTCGAGTGGCTTTCTGTCAGCATGTACACTGTGCTATCTGACACTCCACTTCCTCAATAAGAAGCAATAGTGGAGTAGTTTCCATAAAATTAACTACATCCATCACTTTGAGAAGCAAACACGGTAAGTGATCTCCTTTCCTTGAACGGGCTCATCACACAGTTATCTTGACGGCTCTGGAAGTACAGTCTAATCCACTTATATCTTCTTGTTTTTCGCTGTGCATTATGGGATAGCTAAGATAAGACGGATAAAATCTTGTACCCACTTTTGTCGATTTGCCTGCCTCAGCTTCATTTAGACTGATGCCAAATCAATCTGCCAAACGCCCATTTCAGTAACTAACTGCCCAATGGCATTTGATCATTTTTCCCATTCATACTTCATTAGTCACATCTTTGGATCTGTCTCAGCATAAGATTACAAGAGAACTCACACTGGGGCACGGAGTGCATTACGCACCTTGCGCAGTGTGCCGCGCGTGGAAAGTCTAGGTCATACCTTACACTTTCCGCGTGCGCTCTCGTGCGCTTCCGGTCTGGGGGGCGGTCGTCCGCGCGCCAGCTTGTTCATATAGTGCATGTGGATGGTTGCGATCTCACTATTTCGTTCCACACCACCACCGTCGGCGAAACATCTACCTTTTATTATTACCAGGAGCGACAATAGGGATTTATCAAAGGGGAGGGGGTAAGCCTTCTACTTGGGTATCACACACTATTTAAACTAATTACATATAGTGCACATTTACTTGTTTATTTATTATTATTTAGCAGACACGTTTCCCCAAACGATGCAAATCTGAGAGTTAGTGTCGGACAGTATCCCAATTTGCCATTTAAAGGACACATCTATGCTGCTGCAGCAGCTCAATGAAATTCAAACACCGGCTTCCTCACTCACGCTGCTAAAAAGGCGGTGGTTTCTTAAAGGGACACGAATAGCTAAAACTGCAGTTCCGCCCTACCGATGACCACGGTTTGACTTCACATCCCAGCCAAAGAATTGTAATACGGGAGCTTGTTCGCGCCAGCTTCATGCAGATTTAAAGTCGAGGTTCTCGCGTCTTGGCAACCATATTACTACGTCTTTCAGGAGGCAGAATGGCCGTTAAGCATAACCTCAGATGCGAATCTGAACTGCCGCAGAATTCATTTACTGCATTGTGAAATTAACGTAGAACTCCTCGTGTGGTGGACTGCATGACCTAATTTTACCATGATGCGTTTACAAAATCCAGGTTTTTAGACGATACGTCAGCCGTACTTAACCTGTAGCGTATGCATTGCTCAATGAAAGCGCTGACTACTTAAAATTGGCTTTCTTATCGAATGATCAAGGGACAATAGAGTACCCGCTGCCTCCGTCCGTAATGTAATGAAATACATGGCTCTCCCACACCCTTCTCCGACTGCGCATGTGCAGTGGCCGAACAAAGGCTCCGGCACGCTGGCGAGCCCCATTCATTGCCGGTGCGGACGTGCGGTGGGTGGATGGATGGATGTGTAATAACAGGACGAGTGCCAAGTGTGAGCACTTTCGATCACTCCCGTATTAAACGTTATATTTTAATTAAGATATTAAAAAATAATAATGACAATAAACAGAAGGACACTTACGATCTCCACATTATATAATACCTGTTTTAAAATGAATCATGCTTCCTCTCGACCGCTTGATGCACATGGACAGCATAATGTCTACATTATAGATTTCAAACAATGGTACCGTTTTGTCGTTTGCGTTTCCTGGAAAGTTTAAGAATTATTACCATGAATAAATTTGGGAGATTCGAGAGTAATCATAAAGGAAAAAAATACAAATGATTATGTCTACTATAGGCTATTAATGTTTGCTCGATGCCCCAAAAAAGCAAACCTGAGACATTAATTGATTTTTAAACACACACAATGTCGAAATTCAGCTTTATAAGATCTATCCATTTTTCTCTCAGAATATCGTTAATAATAGTTCAGCGCTTCGCCTGAAGAAGAGCTGTGCAGTTATCTCTGAATCTGAATATTTTCTCCATCCACAGTCATCTAAACCAAATATTTCGATGTATTACACAAATTAAAGTCTTGCATTTCTGGACGGAAGTTGAAATTTTCGATTGTGCGTCCGCATCAATTTGATATTTGCATGTACGGCGGTAATAACTACTATCATTCTGAATTCCATTTAATTAAATAAATACAAATATAGACAAGCATAGTTCTCTTTATATAATATAATTCTACCTATACACCTGTATGCAAATACACCTAATTTATGCCATTTTTTGTTACAGCTGTCTATACCAAATAGGGTTAAATTGGAAAGTCTAAGAGACCATAATTAAGAAATTATCTGATTTTGAGCAAAAATAGTGAAATAACATATTAGTAAAAAAAATAGCTAGAGACTCACCGTATTTCGGCAAACGAGATCAAGCGCGATCTGCTTGAATAGCGGTTTGTTACGTGCTGTATGCGCTCGCCCGTGCTACCAAGGCAGTGCAGTGAGCAGCGCTCCTTGCATCTCCCAGCACCGCGCGGAAAGGAGCGCGCATCCCACTCATCGGCGCATATATGGCCGGGACCAAGAGGGCGCTTCACTGCCCTTGATTTTGGCGAGATGCAACCATGCGTTGATTTATGTTTTAGCCGGTCTTTTTTAAAGCTCTGTACGAATGCAGCACCCTTAAGGACTGTCTGAAAGATAAAACGCGGCATGAATATCCGATTAACAATTTAGCTTTTTAAGGATTTGTGCCTTTTGTTCCAATGACTAGGAATGCATTTTTTTATATAATAAAGATGGGGATGCATTTTTCTTGACATGGCCGCTGATACAGAACTAGCGCATAAAACATCTACTATATAACACGACTACAGTGCAGGAAATAATGTTTTTGATAAGGCAATTTATTAATTGATGTTTAAAAGTATTTCTGTAACCACGTTTGAAAAGCCAACACATATTTCGCTTGTACCTTTTTATCACAGTAATTTCAGCCTATCTCTGTTACACTGATTTTGTTGATTAACAGACGTAAGTACTATTGGCATGTATAGTTGTAAACTGTAAGGCAAATTAAGTTATTTCTATCAAAGAAGGGCGCTAAACATTTTCAAGTCAGTTACTGCAATGGAATTAATTAAGTGACGAAAAGCTAAAAACGGTAACTGCAGAGAGGTTCGGTTTCGATTTTTCTAACGCAGAATCGGTTGGTCTCACTTTCCACCATTTCATATTGCGTGTACAGCTACATCCAGAATCATCCATCCATGTTCTCACCACCTGGTCTGGGTCACCTGGAGCCTATCCCAGGCAGCACAGGGGTGCAGTGCACGCTGTCTGGGGTGGCAGTACATCACTGGGCACATGCACTGTAAGCAAACACTGTGGGTAACTTAAAGATACCAGTTAGACATATCTGCATGTGTTTGGTCTGTGAAAGGAAACCTGAGAATCCAGAGAAAACCTCATGGAACATGTAGGAGAACATGTGAACACACGCCAAACCCCAAGAGGTGTGAGACAGCAATGCTACTGATTGAGCCCAACCATAACTTATCATTAAGCTGACAGTTATTGCATGGCATATCAAATTCAATAACAGACGTTAGAATTAAAAACATAATTAAGATTTATTCCATTATCTGTCTTCAGCAGGTTAAAACTGTCTGTTGTAAATCACACTGAACAGCATGTTGACTCTTTCATCCAAATAATAACTGCAAACTGCATGCTTAATTACCTCTATGAACTTGAAAATATTTGCAAATAATTAGAATAGCTAATATTTGTTGGGTTTGTAACTCCTCACTTCACCCATGTAGGGAGGTGCTTCTGCATGAACCTGTAGCAGAAGGTCTCTTTTGTTTATTTCAATGACTCTATAGTTTGAACCAAAGGTAACCAAGGTTACAGCATTAACCATAGAGATATTTAAATGCGTAACTTGTTTTACCCTCGTAAGTAAATAAATACCAACAAAATGATGCACTGAAGTCATGTCATCAGATGAATGTCATCACAGAATGCAAGTGCTTGTATCAGTGCAATGCTGCACAAGTGAATACTCCAAGTGTGCCAAGCGAGTTGTCACCACTGAAGCTTTGCATTTTAAAATGGTTTGTCGTGCATATACCTTGCACGCAGATTTTTCACACTGTGATTTTGTGTATGTATGTATGTATGTATGTATGTATGTATGTATGTATGTATGTATGTATGTATGTATGTATGTATGTATGTATGTATGTATGTACTTGTACAAGGTAGCATGCTGGTGCACTGTTTTACTGGCGCCTCATACCTCTTGCTCTACACGTGTGGAGTTTGCATGTTCTCATGTCATCATGGGGCTTCAGCCAGGCTTTAATGGAAAAATAAACCAACATGCTACGTACGCTTTATTGGAGTTACCAAATTGCCCATAGGTGTGTAATGTGTAAGTGAAGGGTGTGTGAGTGTTCCCTGAGATGGGTTAGTGCACCATCCTAGGTTGTTCCCTGCCTTGAGGCCGTAGCCTCTGGGATAGGTTTTGGATCCCTCCATGACCCTGAATAGGACAAACAGTTTGAGAAAATGGATGGATGGAAATTGTCCATAGATTTGAATGGTACTGTATGTGTGCCCTGCAAGGGGTTGGTGCCCCATCCCGGGCTATTCTCTGTCTTCTGCCCATAGCTTCCAGGATAGGCTCCGGATCGCTGTGACCCTGCGTAGGACAAACTGGTATAGAAAATATATGGATTATATATGTGCATATATATTTATGCTTTGAATACAGAGTGGATGTGGCCATTTCAGGCTTTATATAAACCCTGTGGTCAGTGTCAGTAATTCTTTTTCTTTCACAAGTGAGCCAATCGAAAACTAGATTGTCTACTTCGTTTTTTTCCCCACAGTATGTGTGTTAAGTCAGAACAAACTCTGAATTGAATACTCTTTCACCCATCTATTGGGCAGTCTATCTCTCCACTTTTCCATCTTCTGTACCTGTTCCAGTAAGTGCCAAAAAATCACAGTTCAATGACAAAGGGTTCCAGACCCTCTTCATAACTTCGCTATACATTGACATCCTATCCATGAAAATCGAGAATAGAGCCACAGTTAACACCATTGCTGAAGTCTGGCACCCAATGAACTTACCCTAAAGCTGGTTACAATAACCGTGCCCAGTATGAAGAGATACTGGATACACCAGAAAGATACATGCAAACCTTGAATTGCATTTTGCAAGAAATACATTAACATGCCTTTGCTCATCTACAATATGTGTTACGTTACTGTACCAAGTCTATACAATAAAAATCTTATGAATGCAACACAAAGGGGTTAATCCTTCACGAAGGATGAACACATGATAAAAGAGCAAGTGCTGAGATATTTGATTAAGCACTGAATGTTACACCCATACATTTAAAGTTCTACATTTATACTTTTGCTATTTTTTTAAAATCAGTTAAAGTATTTTGAAATCTGAGGGAAGACTGAATGCATTTGAATAAATGAATATTTTAAGTGTAGCTACATTCTACAGCTATCTGAGCATAACATCTTTGTCATCATTGGCTATCAGCATTGTTAGCCCCATCAGGGAAATCTAAGTAAGCGTATCCTGAGACCTCTTCACAGCGAGTCTCTGGAACAACTGTAGCTGGAGATTTCTGGCTTAATCTCAGGTCAAATCTCCTTTCGTTCTCTCTAATGCCTCAGACCCAGCTGCCCATTCTCCCACACACACTATCCTTCTGGCTGATGAGCTGGTACAGGGTGATCCATTTATTTAGTGATAAATACGCTGTGATGTTGTTGTCATACTATTTATGGCAGATCATTCTGTGCGCCTAGCATCTTTTTTGACACGGTGGTCAACAGCCCACCATTGATTACCTTAGACCAGTGTTTCTCACCCTAATCCCAGGGGGACGCCCAGACAGTCCGCATTTTTCTTCAATCCCAGCTCCCAATACACTGGGGATCCCCAAATACTGGATTAAGAAAATTGCCTTAGGGAAATCCAATATCCTAGATGAAATAGAAAGTGGTGTGGAATATGGATGGGATGGGATGGATGGATGGACCTCAGTGTCAAAGTTGACAGGGTGCAGGTTAAGCTTTCCATAATTTGGAAGGGTTTTCTGGTGGAAAAAAAATAAGTAGTAAATCTTTTGTACATGGAACAAATAAAAATATATGCAGGCTTAAAACAGTCATATTTTGCTTTTTAAAGAGAAACAATATATTAATTGCTTATGCACTGGAGTATTGAGTAGGTGCTTTTTTGTCATGCTGGAGTGAGACTACAATGCCTCCCTCTGAGTAAATAGGAAGTGGTTCCTGGCAGCCTCTGGATATAGGAGTGTGATGCTTTCACCAATAACCCCTTCAGATGGAATATGTCCCAGGATATAATCGCCCGCACTCCAAAAAGGAAGATTTGGGTCATCGTCTCTTGGCAGGCTGAATTGTCACAGTCTTCACTCCTTCAGAATCACGGTGAACTCTAACATCTCCCAGAGGACCCATGCTAATGAAAAACGCCCCACCGTCATTTAAAAATACAGCATGATTAGTAGGAGGTGTTTGAGAAGCACTTCGGTACTGTAATGTTTTATGGAAAATAACTGATGGTTAGTCAAAGACCTTAATCACTGAAGGGCAGATATCGAATTTATTATATGTGTTTAACGTGTCTTGAAGTGTATTGTGCAACTGTCAGCCTCATCGTAAATAGACAGGCATTTTCTCTACGAGAGGAACAATTTAGGATCATAATTTCGCTGCTATACTGACTGCAGTGCACTACTAGATATACATGTTTTCTGCCATATATGACAATATGAACAAGACCCAATGTTCTCGTATGATGAACTGGGCACAAAAACTGATTGGAGTAAGCACCACAGAGGGAAGAAGAGGGCTAATTAAGCCAGCTTAAGCTAATCGACTGTTCTTGCACAGATATGAGGAGGACATATCTGTCCATGCCAGTGTGTAGGTCATCTGCATTTCCCGAAGATCATCTGCTGAATGCAAATTCATGTTAAAATGTGGTTGTATTCATGCTGGTGAGTGAGAGACGATAAAGATCCCCTCCATTTTTATGGGAGGTTATTTCTGTACCAGGCGTATCCCTGCAATGTGCCATACATCTTTCATGACCGATTATCAGCGCAAGGTCACAGTGAGTCAGGAACCGAGTGCTTAATTTGTGCTGGAGCTCAGCTCTGAGACCTCTGGCTTAGAGCCGCCTGTGCTCCGCTTCCTCAAACACTACATCCAACATAATGAAATGAAAAGTGAAACTTTGGAATAAAAACAGTTTTAACTAAATAAATGTATATTTACAAAACTCTTTGTACTGATGTTTTTTTACATATATTTACCTAAATAAGTATATTTTGCTTGTTGGACTTTTAATTTGAAGGGAAGAAACTGCATCACGCAGTTGCAGAAAAATCCACTTTTTGGCCACCGAAATACACTGCCCGTCCAAAAAAAAAGGTCACCATTTGAATTTATATCAGCAAATACTTAAAAGCCAATGACTAGATCATTATTACAGTCCTGCAACGTTATGCAACAAT